TATAAATTTTCTAAAAATTTATGGTTACAAATATTCGACATAGCTTTCTATCACATTTCTTACACTCTTGGCAGAGATTTGACGGCTCATTGAATCTTAAAAGAGATACGTGATTGTAGGATTGATTTCCGGTATTGCGCTGTAACAGAAGATTGAAAAACGATTCTACATATATACATATATGTATGTAACATACAGACGCAACGATTTTTGTTAACATTGTTTGATATCCGGTCTGAATGTCTGATCACATGACCGAGGCTCGCTATACATATGTATATGTACATGTATACGTATGTATACACAATTTACTTACTATGAAAATTCACCGATAACGTTATTTGTCGTAGTCGACGGTAGAAATTACGATTTGTTATCGACATTTTTGTTTTTCAAGGTCAACATGTGACTGGTGTGATATTCTAGAAACTCAAGATATGTACCGAAAGAGCGGGCAACTTGCTTATAACGATAATAGTTACTTAATATGCGCAATAATGGACAAACTTATGCATAAGTAAACGAAGTACAAGGATCAATATTTTTAGACATAAACAAACGACATTTTCTAGAATAGAAAATGAAAAAATGCGAGTTCCTTATTATAGTCGTCAAATTTTTTAATTTTCTATTCTGTATTATAAATTGTACGAAATTAAATTAAATATATAACTGCAAGAAAAATCGTTCATATTTCTTATAAATTGGTTATCGGTTTTGTGTTACACGTCATTGCTCCCCCTAGCTGCTTCGTGTTAGTAAGAAGTATCTCAAGAATTCCAAACAATTCGTGAATATACCTGGTCATTGACGTGTTTGTATGTACAATTTTAATTCGTCTGTCATTTCGTTCGATCTGTCATGTTCGTTTCGTTTTCCAGTCTGTTTTTAGTACAGTACATTAACTATGTATGTAATTTGATATATTAGATTATCGGTAGGGGTGGATCGTTATCATGACGCGTGTTTACTGTACACATAAGTGATATCTTTTTCTGTGCATGTTTCAGCGCGTACAGTTTTCACGTGTCGAGCGAAGGCCAGATGCTACCGGTTCCGTTTCCGCAGGACGCGCTCAACGCGCAAGGGATACCGCGTCATGCGCGGCAAATTAATACCCTTAGTCACGGGGAGGTCGTGTGTGCTGTCACGATCTCGAATCCGACCAAGTATGTATACACCGGCGGCAAGGGCTGCGTCAAGGTCTGGGACATCGGCCAGGGCGGCACGGGAACGACTAAATCTGTGTCACAGCTCGACTGCCTACAACCTGATAACTATATCAGGTCAGTAATTATTTTTTACACTTACTGTTTAAACTATTTTCTGCTTAATATTATCAGATTACAAAAATGACGAAGCAAGTGATTTATGTAATTTTTTCGTTGCGTTTTTATTGATCTTCAAGTTGATAAAATATGCGCGGAATGTTGTAATAAAATAATAAAAC